AGTATTTTTCTTTTCCGTCTTGCAAAAATTTAAAATAAAAGAGTGTTATTGTGAAATTATTTTTTTATTACGATAAAAACATATTTTGTAAACTAAAACTATAAAATAAATACCATACACGGTCTCCCAGACTTTAGTGAGATTTCTGGACGAAGATAGGTGAGCGACATAAACTGCGTTAACCTGCAATACAAATTAATAAATGTATTTGACTTTAAAAGAGATGTTTGCATTATATTTAGTTCATTACATATGTCTACTGTGATACAGAGCATTAAAACAATCATATTATAAAATTATATTATACAGGGTGTCCAAATAATTGCAAATTCCTTAATAGCTAATATGTATCTACTAAAATCATTAAAAAAACTTTAAATATAAGAGGTATTTGGTATTTGAATTTGGTATTTAATTTAAAATTGTGCATCTTAAAAAGAAACCTTTTGTATTTTTGACAACTTTTGTTCTTTATTGTTCTTGTTCTACTAGTATTTAGATTAGACACCTTGTACCCTGTATTATAGCAATCTTCCTTACTTGACTTAGCACTATTCTGAATCGGATAAATTAGTTAGACTTGAAGGGCTATCTTCATTAATCAAAATTACAAGTGGTTCTACCTGAACCTCTATAATATTATCCAACTCCCACATTTTTACTTCAACTTTTTGGCGAACATGGTCGATACACTTTTTCCATTTTTCTGGAGAAATTAATAATATTACTTCTTCAAAAAGAATTTTAATGTCTCCAGATTTAAATGTTGAGTTTTTATCTGCTACGTATTGTTTAACGTCAACCTAGATTAATTCAATATTATGTTGTTTTGCTGCTTAGCCATTTCATCTATTACATACCTATCATAATGTTTATGTTGCTTACCAAGTTTAAGAAGTTCGATCTTAAGCATTTGGTAGTCAAATTCAATTTTTTTCCCTTATAGCCATTTTTAAATATAACCTTTTTTAAACGTCGTTGTAGGTATTTTTTCCAGCTTTCTCGAATAATAATGCAGTTATCTTCTAATTTTGGTAGGGTGTTTGAAAACCACTCTTTGAACGATTCTCCACACATTTCTTCATGGTAGTCACCGGATTTTTCAACTTAAATACATAAAGTGCATTAGAGACAAAGCCTTCTTCACTTCCAATATGGCATATAATGAGCTGTTTTTACGCACATACCTGATGGGTTTTTAAAACCAGTTAAAAGTTCATCCAAAAAGGCTTGTCTGGATGATAAAACCGACATATCGAAACATACTTTTGATTTGGTGTGGCCTGCGTTAATCCAAGTCTCATCAAGATAATATATTTTTTGCTTTTCTTCTCTGTACCGTTTTATTTTTTGTGACGTAGGACGAAACAATTTCATTTTGTCTAGAAGCAAACTATTTTTTCCTCGAGTTTTAAATTTAAAATTAAGGGTTTTGAAAAGCTTGTAAAATGTAACTCGCTTAAAAGTAGACAAATATGGATCATCTTTGACTTCTTATAAAAACTTATCGATTGTTGGAAGTAATTTCTAAAGAAGAATTGATGTACTTTGCGCCTTATTGCATTTTTATCAAAATCATCCACAGAGCCACTAATTTGTTTATAACGTAGCTTTCTTTTTGGTTCAGAAAAGCGCAAAAAAAATGCCACGTGAGCTGTTGCTGGATGGGAGAGATTGTTTTGACGCGGCGTAAATGAAATCTGAATAGACTTTAGATCCAAACACCCATCGGGCGTTAGGATCTATATGACGCACTTGGTACATAAATAACTATTGTTTACTTTTGTTTGAAACGCCTGAATTTAGCAAATTGTTATCTGACTGCATGACAGTAGTTGTCAGTGTTATAGTCGTTTGAATTTCCTTGACTGCATATCGGAAAAATGGGCCATTTAACAGAAATGTATAAAATAACAATTTCACAGATGACTTAAGAAAGCTTGCGATTAGATTAGGATGTTGCCAAGAGGTTCGCGGCGAGCATTTTGAACATCTCCAACATTAAGATGTATTTTTTTTTGTTACATTATCAAGAAATAAACAGTATTACTTATTTGTTTTTGAGTGTGTTCTAACGAACTTCTGTAATCAAATTATTTTATTTTAATAATGTTAATTTTTGCAATAAATCAGAAAACATTTAATATTTCCGAAACTGTTAAGTATAGGACATAAACATATAGTACATAAAATATGTCTAGAATTTTTTGAAGAATCCAAAAATTGAAAAATATACAGGGTGTTGCATTTAAATAAGATAGTTGGTATTGGCCACTGTTACATGACACAGCCTGTATGAAAAGTTTTTGTTAAAAAAATGCGCCACTAAAAATCGACGTGTCCGAGCGTTTTTCCGAACACGCCCCCCCCCCCCCCCCCCATTTAGTTATTACTGAATTTATTCCATTTGGCTATTCCACACTGTGTGCTAATATTTTTAATGTTAGATAAGTGTCTTAGAAATAATTATAAAAGCACATCACCATATAAAAATGTTGATTAAAATTTTGTAACTGTGAATTAGGCACATTATAAAAGAAACAAACATTACAGCAGACTGAATATTAACAGAATAACTACTAATTATATAATAGGAAAATATTCAATGAGATAACTCTGTCTACTTCTCATGCAGTAAGTACTTTTTATGCCGGATATTAAAAGTTTGAGTTAAAGTCAGTAAACTTTTACTAAGAGCATTTAAAAACGTAAGAAAAAGTGATCATTAAAATGTAATCAACACAACAATCATCTTAATCCACAGCACTTGGAAAAACATATTTCTTTATTAATTAACAGTTCAGTTGCTTAATCTTCATAATAATAAGTTGTTCTTGAATTTAATGAATGAAAATGAAAGAATGATTTAGATTCAATGAAAGAGATACACGTTGCTTCTTACTTTCTATACATAATGATTTCAGTAGGTGCTTGTATAAGAAAATCAAGAAGCAAATAAAGTAAAAAAAAATTCGCAATTACTCTTACAAAAAATTCTAAGAACTCGTCGACAATGAATCTAAGGGCTATGAATTATGAATATAAAAAATATTTCCAGTAAGATGTGCGTAGAAAATATGTGTAATAATTCAACGTCTAAACATTTACAAAGGTAATACAATAGGTTGTACAGAATAACCGGAAAAAGCAGCCTATAAAAACCTTAGGTAAGACAGGAAAATCATGTGTTGAACACATCAGATTTTTAAATAAATGCGAATGAATAAACATAAATAAAATATTTTCACATTGGCCATATATGAACTTCCCCACAAAAACAAGCCACTACAGTCTCTATTTGAAAAAAGAAACTAGAGCGAAAGTATGTATCTACTAATAAATTAATCACTGTTCTGTTTCAGTATGTTATTAACAACTAAATATTTTTCTCCAAATAACTTAAATTTCACTAAATTTTTTAAAATAAAATTTGTCACGGGATTTCTGTGTCATCAGGCAACCATTTTAACTGTCAAATGGTCACGTGGTTTGGAATGCCTAATTGAAAAAGGGTAGGCAGAGATTAAAAGATGAACATTACCCGCTCACTCACATGTATATTACATCTTTAAATGTGAAGGTCTCGGTAGTTTAAAAGGATGCCAAAGTGGATTGGTTCAAGTACATCATAAATAAATTCAACAAATGAAATAAAGAAAATAATTTTAATATTGTTACTGGTGACACATGTTTGATTTAAAACTTTCATATCCACTATAAAACAGTGTGATGCTTGCAAAGGGAAAGATGTTTTTTCTAAAATGCAAGAATAAGGTAATAAGATTTGCTACACACTAAACACGGTGTGAAGAGTGAAAGTCAGACATCAGTGTGTAAAAACCCCTCAAAATAACCAAATTAATTTTAATTAGTAAAACATTTATTTTATTCTTTTAGAGTAATAAGTATTTTCTATAAAAGGTAGTTATGCAAAAAATTATTACTATAAATGGTTTGCATAGCAATTTTAGATAACCGGCTTAACACATTTAGTTATTAAGATAAATTTTATATGATTTATAAAGTTCAATACTTATCATTCTTGCATTTTTCTTTTACTATTCATGTTCGCTTTATTATCTCTTAGTATTTCTTTTTTAGATTGTACTACCATTCAGTAAGAAAATTATGTTTTTTGTATACCTATAATTTGTTTTTATCAATTATAAAAATATTTTTAATTAAATACCTAATTAGATACAAAAATGTATATATCTAATGTGTTTATGTACAATTAATTTGTAATCTTCATCAAATGCTAATGTTAAAAGTCGTTATGCCTATGAAATTAATGACTTATCCACTAATGGATAAGGTTATTTTAAGTATGACGGGATTCTCCAATGTACTTCTTTTTTAATAATGTATTTCAGAACGAAACAGGCACTTAAGTATATTTTATATAAGAAAGAGATTGCCTATTAAAATAGTAGTTTGTGCAACAAAAGTGGATATGGACAATCCATTCAAGCTGTACAATATATTTTTTCTACGACTCACTAACGAAAATCTACAAAATTAAAAAAATATTTAAGTTATTTTAAATAACTAATTTAAAAATGATTATGATTTTTAATAATTCATAAAATAAAATAAATATGAAAAACAGTACGTCACCGTGAGGTAGTATCAATCTGCGTGATATCATACCTTTTTTTCATGCGTCACGTAGAACAGTCAATCATGAAATTCATGGCTATCTATGATGCGGGAGTAATATTCACAGCCATTGGCCAGTAGGTATACCAGAACAAATATTCTGTCACTAGAGTTAGATTGAAATACGTGTAAAATACATAAGAGACAAGTGTTTCAGAATTTTCTTTCTGTTATTATAAGTGGTTTCGAATGAACCACATTTAGTTGCCATAGAGAAAAATAGTCATTTTTGCGAAATCGTCTCATAAGTGTCAAAATTTAATTAAAATACCTATTTTGTCACGAAAATTTAAGTTAATATAAAAAAAAACAAAAACTAATAATTATATTTTTAATTTCAGTATCTCCTAAAGTAAAATGTACTCCAAGCCAGATGCGAGTGGAAGTGCCAATCTCTTCCAACACAATGGCAGTCTACATTCAAGGTTTAAGAGATTATCCTGATCCTGCGTGTAGACCTCACACTGACTCTTCAGGTACTTTAGCAGTCCTTGAGCTTGATTTGCAAGATGTTTATAGATGCGCTGTTACCAGAGCCATCAACAAACAAACGGTATGTAAATATTGGAAATAATTTAACGTCTACGCTAGATTCTTGTTTTTAAATGTACAAAATCTTCAACAATAACAATTAATGTTACCAGTTGACTAAAAATAATATTAATAACTGCAGCAGTAATCCCAAGACAATGCCACTGAAATTTTTGTTTAATTTAATATATATTTTAAATTTTCTCTAACTTGTGAGCATTAAATAAGACATAAATGCAATAAGATTACTAAAAAATTGCACAGATTTAAAAGTAATTGTATATTCTTTAATGTACCTGTAACTTCTTATTTCAGGAAAAAATTTAAATGCCGGCTTTATTATACAGTCGAGAAATCAAAAGAATCTCTTAACAGGAATTTTACCACCTTCGGTTTTTGTGCTTCCATATAATAAATTATATACTATTATATCCAATAGATGTTTTATAAAAGACTTACTTGTTCTTTGCCCTTATTGAAAGAGGTATTTTTTAGTTCAGGTATCTCACGTTTAGAATTTTAAATGAGAGGTTGGAAGTCGGAATTGTAGTTTTTTGCAAATTACCTACCTGTGTTGGGTATTTCAGAAAATCACTTTGTATAGCTAATTTGAAACATTACTAACTAATTGATTTATTCATAGTAGAGATATGGTGAGTAAAATTACACCAGAAATGCAGTTAATTATGTATTAGGTTTTCTTCAATTAGTTTATTTCTTTTATCAACATTTTTAAAATGTTGAATAAAAATAGTTTCGTTTAGAAGAGCAAGTATCCTTAATAATGGGTAGACAGGTAATTGACAATTAAGGAAAAAATTTGTTTATACAGGTACGGAATTTTCAACACGGAAAGTATAAGTTGCAATGAGTTGAACAAAGTTTAATAGGAACATGCACATAACATAGAGGGATCGCTTTCTGCTTGCCCGTCTACAAACATCGGACACAGATATATGCGCGAAGAACCTGTTATATACATATTCCTATTATACCTTGTTCAACTCATTGTTTCCGTGTTAAAACATCCGTATCTGTTTAATTTATGCTACAACGCTTTATTTTGACTCTCTATCAGCGGCCCGTTCAATTTACAATTCTTGACTATTTGTTGTATTTTTAAAAAAATGTTCAACTTGAACGTCAATGACTTAAAATCCCACATAAATTTTTATTAACAAAGGTCTGCAAGTAAAAGAAGAAAATAGGTGCTAAACATGAATACATATTAATTATACTATTGGATTTTCTGGAGGCAAGTTTGGAAACGTTGTGTATGATTCAGTCCAAATAGGACTAGAACACACCAAAATATGGTACTGTGAGGTGAGACTTACTATAAAATACACGAAAAGAACAATAGTTAGTAGTCTTTTCAAGGAAAATAAAACTCAATTTCAAAACCGTGTAATTAGACGGAATAGATAGAGAATTGAAAAAGAAGTCAAATATATAGGCCTCTCCCTGGATAACAAAGTTTTCTGGAACTTACATGAGAAGGAAGTAGTAAATAAGGCCGCAAAAGCCCCAATGGTACCCAGAAACATTGCGGGTGAAAGATGGAGATGTAACCCGAACACAGTGCGATGGATGTATACAGCAATAGTGAGACAATCATCACTTACGGGGCTATAGCCTGAAGTAACAGAACTAATTTATCTACTACGAGAGCTAATATCCCAAAAGTACAAAGACTAGCCTGTTTTTGCATCACCGGTGCAATGGGGGTGATCTTAAAACTCATCTCTCTACATTTAATGATAGAGAACGTAACAAGAATGAATGGAGCCAAAAATCCGTCGTGCTTGCAACCGAAATATATGTTATTCAATGGTATTCGGATGGTTCTAAAACCATAGAAGGAGCTGAAATAGGAGTGTATGGGCCTCAAACCAGGCACTCTAAAAGTTTGGGAAAATACCCAAGCATCTCCCAGGCGAAAATTTACGCCATTGAGAAGTGTATCCAATTTAACATCGAAATCCTGGCGTAGATACGACATTATCATCATGCCCGATAGCCATCAAAGCACTGAGTGCTTACGTAATCAGCTCAAAAACGGTATGGAAATTCCTAGAAAAACTAAATGAGCTAGGCGAGGAAAATACAGTTACTTTCATTTGGGTCCCGGGACATAACGAGATTGCACATAGTCTTGCAAGGATAGAGGCTAAAATACCCTTTGTTAAACCTAATGTAACACCAGTAACACAATATTAGGAGAGATTAAAAAAGAATTCGGCAGTAGAAGAACCGATAATTAAAACAATATCTTGAAGTTAAGACATATGTTAAGATACTTCTGGGTTAATATAACCAGAAAATATCGGAAGCCTCTATGCCTGAGCAAGAAAAGGCTACACATTGTAACATATAACTTAAACGTAAATGGTTAATAACGAGCACCAGCTAGAACAAGGTAGTTACAAGAAATACCATATGGGAAGAAGAAGTAAACAAATAAATTGAATAGTAATGAGAAACTGAGCGAATTGTATTTGGGAGAAAGGTGTATTATTCTCCCACATTTTTAAAAATTCCTTCGACTAAATGAAGAGTATAAGACTTCACTGGTTTTCTTTAAAGTATTTACGAAATAAAATCAACAGCATCACTAAAAATTATTTTTTATCTTGAATCCCATTAGGAGTAAACAGTTTGAGAGAATAGTTTGAAAAAACCTTCTATAGGAATATATAAGTATATCAGATCATAATATACAGTAGGGAGAATATCAAAAATCCCATACTAAGAGATCAAACAAATATGCTTGAATGAAATATCAGTAATGAAATTTAATGAACCAATCTGTTGGCCAACCAGTAAAAGACTTCCAAAATAAGGGGTGGTATTTCAGTGATTGCCACCCCAAAGGAATCAACTCAAAGTTATACCCTGAACAGGTGCGGGATTAATTTTTTTTTGGTGTTAAATTATCATTAATTAAAAATGTAGGATTCATTTTGAGTCATTGCCTTACCTACATTAGAGCGGTTATTGTTTACTTTGTTTATACTTTATCAAGGGACTCTAAAAACTTTAAGCTTGATTTATTATTGTTTTACTTTTAGGGTAAACAAATTTACTATCAAAGTCTGATCATCGAAAATGTCGAAGCCGATGGACAAACAATTAAAGACACCCTTCATGTGAAGTGCTCAATATACTCCATAAAAAATCACACCGTGTCCAAGAGAAACGTTTTACCAGCCGGATTTCAAGAACCTGAGTAAGTAATAAAATATGCTATATCTATATATAAATAGGCAAAAACAAAATAGTTCAGTACCATTTTCTTTGTGAACAGATTTTTTTTTAATTTTTGTTTAGTAGCTATTGACGATCTTTAGTGTTATCAATAAAAACAAGTAAAACCAAGTAAAATATTTCGGTCTTGGGGCGTAGAATAATACTGTCGTTATGCTTTATTCTAGGCTACGAAATACATACATGAAACACAAGTTATACAATTTACGTCGGAGCACACATGCTATGCGTTTAGTGGACAGCATGAGAATGAGGGCGATGCTGACGGTTGGCAGCTGCAGGTTGGCAACTGAGCACGCGCACTGGTACTGACTGGCATACGTTCACGAATCTCTTTTGATGTGTTCCACATATACCGCATATCTTCCCCCTTACTTTAGAACACATAATTTTACAATATCGACACATACCTTACATGATTAGATACAATACAAATCACATGATTTCTGATTTAAGTACAACATTACTATGGTTATCGATATCTAATTAGTTTTACAATATCGCGCTTCGGTCTGATTGAAGTATCTGTAGTACTAACGTCATTTTCATGGGAGTTGTTCACATAGTCATTTTCAAGTGAATTACTCTTATCATTTTCGTTAATTTCAATCTTTTGAGCCGTTTCACCTGCATTGTTCGTAACTTCATTTTCATAACTATTATTAAATACGACATGATCATTATTTAGGTTATGTTCAACTGAGGGCTCAGGTGCACTGAGAAATATTGGAGTTTGTCTAGGTTTCTTAGCTGATTTTCTATTTCCTTATTGTCAATGTTGTCCCGTGCATTACTTTCTTTTCTCCCCTTTCCTCTCTTTTTAAAATTTGGTTTGTATGACGTTTCCAAACCTCGCCTGAACTTAATCTGCACAAAAATGTCACCCTACCAATTTTTTTATGATAGTAGCCTTAGTCCATGTTTTTAGCTTGCGATTTCTGTAATCTTTAACTATTACCCTGTCATTTACTTGATATTTAGAATTTGAATGTGATTTTTTTGTATTTGAGCCTGAACTCGTAAGAAGAGAATCTAACCTAATAGTTGGCTTATTAATGAATACCATCTTAGAAGGTGTTTTATTAGTAACCGTACTGGGGGTATTTCTATTCATATGCAAAATACGAGTTAGCGTGGCATGAATATCAGATGCAGATTAGTTTTCAACTTGTTTTTGATTATCTTAACAGTATTTTCTGATGGACCATTGCTTTGGGGGTTGTAAGGCGATATTGTGGCATGTTTGATATTATTAATTTTGAAAAATGACTTCATTTCCTCTGAAACTAGTGATGGGCCATTGTCTAAAATAACCGTTTGTAGCAAACCGAACCTACTAAAACAATCTCTTAGTTTTGCGACTGTTTCATTTGCGGTTATCTTAGGGATAATGTATACCTCAATCCATTTACTATACTGGTCATAAATTATAAGCAATTCTTTACTTATATATGAAAAGAAGTCGATGTGGACAGTTTCAAAAACTTCGTTTGCAACTGGCCATGGCTGAATCACTTTGGAAGGATTTTCTCTATATGTTAAACATTGATCACATGATTTGCAAAAATGCTCTATTTTTATCTATACCTGGAAACCAGGCATATGATCTAGCTAATGATTTAGTTTTAACAATTCCTTGATGAGAATTATGTAATTCTTCAAGTAACTGATCTTGTAAAAACAATGGAACAACTGCTCTGTGTCCATAATATAAACAATCATTATTTACATGCAAATATGCTCTTACATTATAAAATGGTTTGAAATCACTATTTATATGGCTTTCAGGCCATTCACTAAGAATATACTTTATAACCTGCGATACAATTTGAACTTTGATTGTTTCACTTTCTAAAGTATTTTGATCAATTACCGATTAACTATTAGCAATGAAATAAACTTGATTGTCATCATTATCGTAATCAGCATCATCATAGTCTTTCTGAGTAGGAACAGGTAAGCGAGAGAAACAATCTGCTACTAGATTACTTTTCCCACTTAAGTGTTCTATTTTGTAATCAAAATTTTGCAAATATATTGCATATCTCTTAAGACGATTAGCATACATTTGATTAATATCTTTATTTAATCCAAAGATAGTTGTTAATGATTTCTGATCACTTCGTAATGCAAACTTTACACCATAGAGGTACTCTTGAAACTTTTTTACTGCTAAACTTTCTTTATGTACAGGTGGATAAGATTTTTCCGCCTTTGAAATTGTTCTAGATACGCAAGCCACCATTTTTTCAGTTTTGTCTGGCATAATATGTGACAATACACCAGCTACCCAGTTTCAGAAGAATCACATGTAACCACTATTGGCAAATTTGGGTTAAAATACGTTAAAACCTGATCTGACACCAGAGCTGTTTTTATATCATTGAATGCCTCTTCATGATTATCATGCCACTGAAAGACACCCTTTTTTAACAGTTCATACAGGGGCGATAAAATTGTACTCGTATTTGGGACAAATTTTCTGTAATAATTAGACATATCAATGAATGACCTTAGTTGAGTGAGATTAATAAGTCTTGGTACATTCGTTATCGCATCAATTTTATCTTTGTTTTTCAATAAACCATCTTTAGATATGATCAAACCCAAATATGAAACACTATCTTTAAGAAACATACATTTATCTAAATTTACCTTTAGTCCTACTTTATTTAAAATGGAGAAAACTGTGTTTAAAATAAGCATACTATTCTTATCATCTCTATGACCTATTAATATGTCATCCTGATAACAAAAACATTTTTTATACCCTGAAATAACTGCTCAATTTTGCTTTGGAAATATAAACTAGCACATTTTATACCAAATGGTAACCTTGTTACTGAATATAACCCCTTGTGAATGGATATTGTTACCAACTTTTGAGATTCTTCATCAAGCTGAAATTGCAAATAAGCATCACTTAAATCAATTTTAGAAAACTTTATATTACCTGACAAGCTAGCATAAATCTGATCAATAATAGGCAAAGGATAATAAACTTCCGATAAATACTTATTAAGCCTAACATAGCTACCACAAATTCTTATTGAATTATTCTTACGAAACACTGAGACTATGCATGATGACTATTGTGCTGCTACAGTTGGTTTTAAAATACCTTGTTTATCCAAACGATCAAATTCTTCTTCAACTTTGTCTTTTATAACTAGAGGCACTGGACGAGGACGGTGATGCAAGGGAATAGAATTGCTTTTTAAACTCAATAAGATTGTACCAAATTTAAAATTTCCCAATTTTCCATTAAACACGTCGGGAAATTCATTTCTCATCATTAATTTGGCCTCATCAGAACTTATCGAAATTACTCTTGGATCTACAACATTAAAACAAATATTAAACTTCTTAATAAAATCTCTACCTAACAAGCATAGAGTAGCATTTGGAATTACGAAAATCTCTACATTTTTATTGACACCTTTATAGCCAATTTCAACAACAAACACACCTTCTGGCACGATATTTTCACCACTGTGACCTTTAAATATTTTATCAGTGTTACATAATGACACTCCTTTGAACTTACTATTGTATATGGTGCTATTTATTGCGAAAATCGCTGAACCTGTGTCTAGTTCCATAGTTACCCTTTTATTATTATCTGTCACATGTCACATCATTTAAAATTGGGGATTTTACCCTGTGAATAGATTTGATAAAATACATATTTTCATTGTCTGAAGTATTGGACGCGTTACATTCATTTTCGTCAATAAATTTAACATAACTTCTTTTATTTACCTTGCACACTTTTTCCAAATGACCTATTGTTTTACATTTATTACACCTGTATGTTGTATATTTACATCTTCCTCCATACTTCTTTCCACATACTTTATACTTCAAATCATTGAATCTTCCTTCTTGTGGCTTCTTTTCCGAGTCTCTGCTCGATTCTTTGCTTCTTCTATCCTTATTATGCACAGATTCGTTCTGCACACTATAAACGTCACCATGGCTTTGCTTTGAATTTAACATCGCGGTTTCTTTAGACATCGCAGTGTCTAAAAATGTTTCAAACTTGCTATTCAACTCTAATTCAACCAAACTGTCCAGAATTCTTCCTGGTTTTATGTCGGAAACGAATTTATCTATTAGAACACTGCTTAGATGATGAAATTAACAGTCCAGTGACAATCTTTTTATTCTGGTATACCATTCTGCACTTGTTTCTTGAGTTGTCTGGTAGGCCTTATAAAAGTCGATCTTTTTTCGAAAGACATTAATTTTTGGGTACATAAGTCCACATAACTTTTTGACGTCGGTATGTCTGGAAAATATATATCCCTTAGCGTTTTATAAGTCTCTGTTCCTATTAAGCTAATCAACATTGCAATTTTAATATCGTCGGCTATCTAATATTGAGACAATTTTTCTTCATATATCGTAAAATCATCCTTTTGTGAATATTCGGGAATGCTTCCGCTCGTATTCATAAACTTCTACTCGTTTCGAATTTTCATTCCAACCTTGTTACAGAATATACTATTATGTTTATTTAATTTTATTAAGTACCTACTGATTTGATGAAATCACCAACAGGTTATTTAGGAAGATTAACTCGATAAGATCGGTCTTCTAGAAATATTGCGATCACATTTCTAGCCAGAAGATAATAACTGTTATTCCGAGCCAGCTTTTCAATAAAATCAATACATAACAAGTTGTATTAACTTTATTAAAAACCCACGTAAATACTAAATTCACAGTATTTAATGAATTACTAACGGCTTGATATAAAAACTGAATCATCTAATAGTGATTATAATAATTATGAAAGCGATCTTTAATCTTTTATAAATGTTCCATTTGAAACGTTGAATTAGTATCAATTATTTCTAAATTTTTACCGATATTTTGTTTACCTAATAGCTATTCGATCGACTCTATGCAAAGTAAACTTAATACCTGTTATGTAAATCAAATTCTATTTAGGTATCC